CCCTCCCTCCTTCCTCCCCCCACAAAGCCGCTCTGGATCCGTCTATGATAGCGATAAAAAAGTAGTGTAGTCTCGACAAAGTTCATCATACAGTTAACAGGCATGACCACCGTAAGCAAGTTATTGCTTCTATTGGAATAGCTGCCAGATTCCGGAACATTTGGGATTACGGTTTTTCTTCTCCCGTCTGGAAGGTTTGGGGGCTGATAAACAAATAAAAGAAAATGCTGTTTTGGAACAAAAGAGCATTTTCACTGGGATCCCAAAATATGCATCGCGCAATAATTAAAGTTTTTAGATAAGTCACAAGCGACTATCGAAGTACGAAAAGGAATTTTATTCACTGAAAGAGCGAGAGTTGGAATCCCAGGATCCACAAGAACGTCTCGAGGTTTTCCTTCTGCATTTTTTGCAATTCATTTTAAACTACAGTTCTCGTTTTGTTGTTTTTCAGTGCAAGTGTTGTAGAAATTTTAAAGATAAAAGCAATGGATATTTCTGGCAAGGCGAGTGAAAAAGAACGGAAGCCTGAAATCTTTTGTGTGTTAAAATATGCAGTTTGTCTGGCGTTATTGGCCCACCGTGGAAAGGAATATAATCGAGTTTTAACAGTTAAAAGTGAACTGGAAGTGCCATTTAGATCTTCCAAATAGGCAAACCTTTATGTGCAGTAACTTGGTAGCCGGTCTTGTTTCATCCCTGAGCTGTAAACATAGACGGCAGAATCGGTGCGGAATGGGGTGGGAATAAATTGTGGCTTGTTTCTAAACAGTTGTGTGTTTCAGCGTGAGAATCTTCGGCTGAAGGAAACAATTTTGAGACTGGAACGGGAGAACGATGATTTGGCGCACGAGCTAGTCACCAGCAAGATCGAATTGAGAAAGAATCTGGACACGGTATGTGTGGGTTTCTCTCTTTTTTGTTCCATACTGCTAATGATTGTCTTACTGTATGTCTGTAGTGCTAAGACGCATTTTTTTAGGCCGAGGACAGTGTCGAAAGTTTGCAAGGACAGCTTGAAAGGTGTATGAGGACAGCCAAAGATCTTGAAGACGAAAATAACGGATTACGTGCCGAATATGATCAGGTACTTGAGGGAATCTAACTTGCTGGATATGCTAATGCACTTATTTTCGATATTCTACTCTAGGGAATTGCCTAGATTAGAATACCTTCTTGCCTCCTATCGGTTTCACTACATAATCTTTCATAAACATATACCAACTAAAATTAAAATAATGTTGAACTTTAACAGAAAGATAGTTTTGCTTTGTGGCATAGGCGTTCTCAGGGTAGGGCGAAGTTTTTTTCGCCCCCCCCCCCTCCAAGGCACAACTGCCCGGCGCTGCAAGAGCCCGGGTCTAGAGCTAAACTAAAGTAAACTAAAACTGAAAGTAACTCGAAACTAAAACAGCTCTAAGTAGCAGTTTTATAACTGTGTTCCTACTTTTTGCGTAGTTCCAGGATGAGGGACTCTCCTCCTCCCCTCCTCCCCCCTTCCCACCCAACTCCCGTGGTTTTTAGCTATGCTGGTGTAAGTCCTTGAATTCTGATGTTGCTGTCGTTTACACAAGACCATCCGGGTGATGACTGTGGATATCTTATGTTAATATAATGTTATTAAAGTGTCCTCACACGCTGGGCTTAGTTCTGCCACGCCGTTTTATCCGTACACTGGATTACAGGTGAAGGAGATGTGCCGGAGAGAAGTACAGCGACTGGAATCGGAGGCGATGAGGTCGCAGAGTATCATCCTCAACTATAAGCAAATATGCTCCGATCTCAGTTATCGGCTCGATAAACAGCAAGAGAATTATCAAACGCAGAAGAAACGCATCTCAGTGGGTTGAATAATTTTTACTGGTGTTCTGCGTGAGAGGAATTAACTTTCGTGGGATTGTTGTTAATTGATAGCCAGGATGAATGATAAATTGCAGCCGAATCGTAACCTTAATGGCAATGGACGGTCCAAAGAAATCAAAATGTGGAACAGCCGGAGTCAGAAAGCTAAAACGAAGGGTGGGATAAGATTGTTAATCTGATTATCGCATGATTCTAGCATGAAAGTAATATGAAGAACGTAGAAAAGAAGGCAAGAATAGGACGAACTATGTAGTGCAAGAGGTAGGAATATTGTTGGTGCAGGAGAAATAAGAACGAGAGAGTTAAGACGTTTCGGTAATTTGCGGCCGTTGGTAGGCCGAATCGTAATCTCTGAAATAAGCGGGTGGTCCGAAGTATGAAAAATGTGGAACGGCTACAGTCTCGAACTGTGCGACTGGCTTCCTTTTCAGGCCTAAAGAACACAATATTTGAAAAAAGGATTTACATTAAGAAACAAAGGTCTGTTTTCCAGGCAATGGTATCCCAATGTGAGCAGTGCTCCGCTACATTGGCTGAGTTTGCACAGCACGAATGTAATGGAAGTCCCTCGAAAAAGGTTGGAATTTTTGTTAATTTGGGGCAAGGGCTTTCAGAAGAAGGGCCTAGCTAAATCTTTCGGAATTTCAGCAGTATTCGCCGGTGAAAGAGGAAAACGGCTGTGGCCTTCGTGTGGTCGAGCTAATGGATAAGCTGGAAGAAAGTGAACAGCGTGTTCGACAACTTGAACTCAGTCTTGCACAGACAAAACTTGAGCTTGTGGAAGCGCAGTGCAGAAATCAGGATCTTAGCCATCAGGTGAATTCTTGAAGATTCATCCCATCCGCACGAATATCTGCTTGAAATGCTACTATTTCACAACAGGTTCAGTAATGATGTAACCAACAGTCATGCCATTTTCACCGATTTTCATTTCATTTTTTGTTTGAAACAGTGCTGCATTGCTCGGTAGCCTGCCTTTGACGATCCCAA